TGAATCGTGGACCATCACTGAAAAACTTCGAACCCGGGTACAAGCTGCTGATATGGGCTTTCTTAGACGAGTCGCTTGCCTTACGCGTCTCGACATGGTCCAGAATAGTGACATCCGGAAGTGCCTTGGATTACAGCCTTTGCTTCTCTAGATTGAAAAATCACAGCTGCATTGGTTTGAGCACTTGTTGTGAATGCCTTCAGGAATAAGTCAATTCAACTACCACTTGATCAGCCGATGCGAAGAAGGTCCAAGGGAGAGTATAGATTTTCCTGGAGCAAATGCATGCAAGAATTATGTTTCAGACTCTGATTGTTTTCTGCCGAAGGCACAGGATTGAGAACATTGGAAGCACTGTCTGACGCGTCTACCTCCGACACCCCAAAGGAAAAATGGAAGATGAAGTTGAAGTTGAGCACAAGCCATCATAGTTCAAAGCTGTTGCTTCGAAACAACTACAATGCAAATGCGATAATACAAGTGAACAGAATTGCAGAAAGTGCGGTGGCGACCCTTGAAAGAATCAAGTTTGGTCAAGGCCATTGACGCAGTTTCACAGTTCAGATATTACCGTGTTATTACTTTAATCCACAGAATCTTTGATTTTGGACCCACAGAAAACAGATACACTGCATCTCACATCTGAAGATACCTTGGCGAGATCTGGACAAAAACTAAGTGACGGTTATGACGAAAAAACACAAGTTGCAGTAAGGGCGACGAACGATTGTTCACAGAAGAATGCAAAACGACCTGCTAAATGGGCGCCAACAGAAGTAATTATGAAGTATGCAAAGATTCAAATGGTGTACGCATGTCAGAAATGATCACATTGGCATAACAGGTGCATACACCTCTTATTGTTGCCGACTGAACGGCTTAGCTCTGGTATGAAGGCATCATCTGCTGTACAATCACATCGTGGAGCATATGCGAACTGCTCTTGGCAATCCAACAACGGTATAAAATGGCGAGCCCGAACTATGCAAATAAAACTCGACGGTTTCTATACTGAATTGATGACTGATACGCTGGCGGACAGGAGTTGGCTTTGATGTTGTGTACGCATGTGTTGAATAAAGTTTTCTAATTCGGCAGTGGTGTTCTGTTATCTTATATGAAGGCAAATATTTAATGCTGAAAAAATATATCTTACATGTAGAATAACTGGGCGGTGGTTCACTACATGATGCTGCCGAAGGCCTTTTAATTCTGCGGCAGACAGCTTTTGAAGCTCACTCACTACCTTAGCTTAAGAAAGCCATTGAGACATTGACCGAAACGCTCGTATTAATCAATCATTCGATGGAGCAAATTATTTGCGTTGTGTATAAATATGCCGTGTTTTTTCTGTTTCCGGTATGACCACCAACATGCGCGCCAAATGCTCAGTCTCAAAATGAGCGCTGTGAGATCAGACGGATAAAAGTTTAATGGAACATTTGATTTTAACTTGAAATTTATATGTAATAAATCATGTAAAACCAGTAGCCAGCGAAGAAGGAAATTTGCAACTTTTATTGACTAGCAAACATTAACAGTACTGAACTACAAACAAGCATTTGAAGTAAGGTGAAATAGCTGGAATAGTTCATCAGTTACGCTTGTTCAGGTAGTGTAGTAAGTTTGCGGAAAAGTAATTCGGCAAATGGTTTGCACATCTCTTTAGCGCCACAACTGGCTCGTCATGCTTATCGACATTTCCGTTAGTGAGCAGTCCAGCTGTCTCTTCCAAGTAAGTGCCGTCGCTCCTGCTTCGGGCCGGCTCTCTTCTAAGTTTCAGCTGGGCCTTCACGTCGTTGTTCGTAAATGAGTTCCACATGAAATAAATGATCTCTGTAGTTATCAGATCGCCACCGTGCCACGATATCATTCTTAGGATAAATACGCCGTCTGAACGTAAGAAATAATCGAAGAATTTTGCCACTTCCTTGCGACCTTCGTCTGAAAAGTCTAATAAACAGTCAGTAATCCTTAGGTACCTGCTGACGAACTGCATTTGCTGTTTCCTCGAAAAATAGATGAAAACAGAATACAGTAAGCTGCAGATGGTTGCTGTGGCTACCAAAAAAAACCACCACCATAGAAAAACGAAAATTTTTTCGTTGAACATGTTGATCATCAATACGCATTGAATAGTATAGTAATGTAAATTGCCCAGCGTTCTAACCTGAAAATCGCAGAGGGTCACGCGGGGAAAATAGCCGGTTTCTTCCCATTCCCTGCCGTGGATAAGATCGTTCAGAACTTGCAGTCCCCACAGGTGATATCCACTGCTCAGGCAGGCGTTTAGCAAGAAAAACTGGCCGATCACATTCACTGTGTATAGTATTTTCACGACAATATGAAGAAACGTTAAGTACATGCCCTTTGACCTGCCAAAGTCAATAACTTTTCTTAATAGGCTGTACTTCCTTCGGCTGAGGTCGAAATGCAACTCTAATGCGTCTTTAATATGAGTTGCAATCGTTCGTACCGTAAGCTGTCGCTTTTCTGTCGCAATGTTTTTCGTATCCGTTACCAAACAGACGATTTCAGATATGTGAACTCCTGAAACAGAAAATTAGGTTTATGCGCAAACCTACCATCTGCTAAAGTTAGTTTAATAGAAACAGAAAATGGATATCTGGATTACGTTCCAATCCTTAGTATTAGTATAGGAAAGAAGTAGCCATTGTAAATGAAACAAAAGATGTCAGACAAACATATTTTATTCTCTTCCGGACACATATCTCCCCATAAAATGCTGATATTAAAAAGAAAACATTAGCCATGCTAGACTAGCTAGACTAGCCGTTCTAGATTAGCCATGCCAAACTACTGGTTATGCCCGAACCGTTTATTAAAGCTCATGAACTACTCGATTGGGAGCGTAAACGCACAGATGTAGTTCAGAAGGCTTGCATACAACATGGAGGAACAAAGGACAAGCAGATTTGCTTCTGGAGAAAAATATTTACTTCAAAGATGCAGCAGGCATAGCTTATGGAAAAAGTGTTGTATGCAAGAAAATACAGCGGAAATTCCAAACCAGTGGTGTTTTGCGTACGCAAACGACCTCAACGAACACACAAGCTCCTGTTTCGTCG